AAATGCCAAAAGCAAACTTTCTGAATGTGCAGATGATGAGTTGGTGAAGCAGCATGTGGCTCATTGCCTCAGCTTTTCAAAGCCCCGAACGTCACAAAACATCCGAGGACTAACGTACGAGTACATGGCCAATTGCGCGCTCTTGTAGGACGCGGCTGGCCGGGCGTTTTGACGAGCGCGGGGCGGATGGCACCACCAATACTCACTGTTGACGCTACCTGCTAGCGCGTTAATGTTGTTGAGGCCTACGGTGGCGCCCGCCAGTCCCTGCAGGGTGCCCAGCGACGTCAGCGAGCTCATGGCGCCTGCTCCGGAGCCGGCCGGGGCGCCCCCTGCTGGGCACACACAGGAAGAGCAACAGAGCGGCCGCCGTCAGGATGAGGAACGTCGACCGGGCCGCGATGCCGAACATCGCCGGCGAAAAACCCCAAAGCCGGCAGCAAGTCCACATTGCCGCAAAACAGTTCGGCGAGCAACAACAACAACCCCCAAATAAGAACAAACAGCCCCCCCCCCAAAAAAAATGAAGAGCACGACAAATACAATAACTACAACAACAAATGCTCTCTGAGCGGGAACGGCCCCATGTGCATGAGGTGATGATGGACTGGTGCTTCCATGCAGGCCGGTGCGCCCGCTGGCGGCCAGCGGGTGGCGGTAGTGAGACGCGACTTCCACCAAGAACAACAAGAAAAAGAAAAAAGGGGCACGTGCTCGCTCGCGCCAAACTCGTAGACGCTCGTGCTTACGCAAAATGCTGACCCAATCCGTCAGCAACTGATGTTGATCCAATTTCAATTTTTATGTAAGGTTCCACAAAAACATGTCCCAATGACACAATCACGTATTTATCAACACTCACAGTCACAAGTTTTGGTGACAGTATCTCCAATTTTTTTCCAGCAAGTTTTTGAAATTCACCATGACATTTTTTTGTCATTTCAATTCACAAACATTTTTGTCTGATCTAAATTTCCCATTTTTTGCATCCATAATAACAATTTTAAAATAATTGTGTGTGTGTGTGTGTGTGAGAGAGAGAGACACACATGCACACACACACACACATATACATAATTTCTGTAACTTTGATAAGTTTGTTCTCTAAACACTGCAACCTTGATTCCTGCATCCATTTTTGTTACGTAACGCAAATGATTGTTGATATGCATTTTGTGTAACCACAGCAAACACCGGGCCAACAAAGCAGCTGAGAGGCCGTTGAACTTGCCCAAAAATAAGCGGACCGACAAAAGCCCAAAGAAGGTGAACAAACACAAGCGCACTCACACACGCACGGAGGGACAAGGGGTGTCACACAAATGGCTGACGGGTGATCGGTGGCATTCGGTGGCAATGTCGGTGAATGATGGCGAGGACGGCGCCTCCCGCCCCCTCCCCCCACCCCGGCGGCCGGCCGGGCTCAGCTGCTGAGAGCCGCCGGCGCGGAGCGAGCCG